TGCGCGTGATCTAGGTATATGCTGATAACCACAAGGAAAGAAGAAACCACGAAGTTCCCAAGCGCTTTCGTGTAATTCACATCTTCAGGGGTGAGTACAGACTAAAGAGAAGTACAAAACAAGGTGTATATATAGAGAGGAGGGTGAGACCAGGTCCACAATGGTCAGGTATTAGGTAATGACCCTACTAATCTTTAAATAGCACCGCAACGGTCGGTAGTCAGGTCAGAGGGTAAGGTGGCCCAACCTTCTCACCTGGTTACAAATCATCTTAATTACAAAATTGTCCAGTTTGTACATGCCATTACTCAAATTCATGTTGAATGCTTCGGTATGTTTAATGAGACAAGATTCTATGATGTTCCTACTATCAATTGAATTACAAGGTAATATTGAGGAGGCATTATCCCAGTCAATGCAATGCTTGTTATCCCTCAAATGAACAAACAGAGCATTGGATTCCTGGCCTGTCCTAACACTATATTTATGCTGTTTAAGTTCTTTACCTGTCTGGCCTAAGTAAAACATATTACATTCCTTGCAAGGAACTTTATAAATGCAGCCAATTGTGTTGTTGGGGGAGTTCGTGATTAACATTTGTTTAACAGTGCATGAGTTTTTAAATGCCACTTTGACGTTCCAGGTTTTTAGTTGTAAAGGAATGTGTGACAATTTTTTGTGAAATGGTAATATTAAGATATTGTTATGGTCATGGGTGGGCTTGGGATCAGTACTATAAAAAGTTTTCTTAGTAATGTTTAGGCATTTGTCTATGAAAGATCTAGGGTATTTAAGGTTTGAGCCAATATTATAGATATATTTATATTCCTCATCAATGAATTCCGGACTGCAAATTCTCAAAGCACGTAAAAACCCCTGGGGAATCCCAATGGTTACACGGCCCCATCAACGCTGACCCTCTGCGTTCTATCGGCGAGCCATGATTTTATCCAATTTAAAACTTTTCCCTCGATACCATGAGCCTTAATTTTTCTCAGAAGCCTCTGATGCGGTACCCTGTCAAATGCTTTGCTAAAGTCTAAGTAAATAACATAGTAATTTTCGTTATTATCTACTACCTCGAAGACTTTCCTAATAAACGTCAGCAGATTCGTTAGACAAGATTTTCCCTTTGTAAACCCATGTTGAGAGTCGTAGATTAATTTGCTTTTCTCTAAATGCGATCTGCTATAATTGATTCAAGAAATTTCCCCACTACTGACGTCAAACTGATCGGCCGGTAATTTGACGCTGATGCTCTGTCTCCCTTTTTGAATTGGGTACTACATTTGCCTGTTTCCGCAAGTCTGGCACAACTCCCGCGTCTAATGATTTTGTAAATAAATTTACGAGGGGTCCGCTAATCTGTTCCCTACACTCTTTCAAGACTCGAGGGAAAATTTTATCCGGCCCTGGACATTCCTAGATAGTTCATTATACCTATTTCTGAGCTGCTCCTCCCCTCCCTTTAATTTTTTATATATTCCTTTCTTTATTCCTATGTCATGTTTAAGTTTTCTGGTCATCCACCTTGGCTCATTCTTATTTGACTAAGTACAGACTAAGGAGAAGTACAAAACAAGGTATATATATACAGAGGAGGGTGAGATCAAGTCCACAATGGTCAGGAATTAGGTAATGATCCTACTAATCTTTAAAAAGCACCGCAGCGGTCGGTAGTTAGGTCAGAGGGTAAGGTGACCCAACCTTCTTCTCTGACCTGACTACCGATCACTGTGGTGCCTTTGGGGTCGTACAATTGACCATTATGACTCCTCTATACCTCTCAGTCTGTACCACTAGTGAAATACACGAA